ACAACATTTTAGATTTTCCATTATCTTTCCTTTTTTTTTTTCTTTTTGCTTTTACACACTCATTCTTAGTTAAAATTCTAATCAACCAATTGAATAGATGAGCATTTTACAAAACAGTATCGCATATTTTTTTCATTTTCTTATGAACACCACTTAATACTAGTACAAAGATCTACTTTCTCCTTTTCTTTTTTTTTTTTTGTTTTGTCATCCCGAACGGTTAACTCTATTTTAAAATATTTTTCTACATAATTTCTACTTGTATTAATTGACGTTCCAACATACAAACAGCGTTCGTTAGCAGACAGAATATAAGCATTGATAGCAGTATCAAACAACATCAAAAAATAGCTGTTTTTTAAAGGACGGTTATAGAAGGAAATAACAACAACAAAAAAGGGACGAATCAACAATACGATAGATTTTTTGCTTTCTATATGATAAAAATGACTGAAAAAATTTCTTAAACCTTTATACATTCTGCATAAAACACTGAAGCAACAAAATCTTACAACAGCTGAGTCATCCAAATTTGTTAACATTCTCACAAAAAAATTATAAAAATTTCATTTTCTTTTTATCAATTTTATTTTATTTTTATTTTCATATCTTTTGTAAATATTATCTGCGCATTACTGACTGAAAATATTCATACACCAACAGAAGAAGTCGGCAGATTTTTCATGCAACCAAAAAATAACAACAGTTTTCCAAGCGATTGTTTTGAAAACGGTTTTTGTTCACACCAAATGACTTTAGCATTTTCTTATCAGCTAAAAAAAAATATTCTTAAAAGTTTCCAATTATTTCTTCTTTTTTTTTTTTTCTCAAATTATTTACTAAAGTATATTTTAAAGCAGTACTAGTTATGTAAATTCAATTATAAAAGCGTCGAGATTGAAGAATAACAAAAAAAATAAATAAAGAAAGAAAGACCTGTGCAGGATTGGCAGCGTCTCAACTTTGCTCTAAGACTTAAGAAATTAAAGCAAAATTTTATTAAAAATTTCAAATTTTTTTTACACTCTGTAAGCTTAAAAGTTGCAAAAACTAATTTTAATGCTGTTAATTTATTTCACAGTATTTGACCAAAGATCAGCAGTGATGGTGAAACAGAATCTAGTATGGTACAATTTTGGACCTACAAATCACTTTTTTTCGTAATTTTTATTATCAACAAATAACTTCTGAATTAATCACCAGTCTTTGTCAAAGTATAAAGTTTGCAGACTTTTACAGACTTTTCTGTAACGACTCTATAGTTGACTGAAAAGTATTTAAATAAATTTATCAGAATAGCAAATTTTGAACTGTGTATGACCTACAATATTTCACCAAATAGAAAGAAATGCATTGTTGGATCGGCGTTAGTGCTGTCATTATTCCTAATATCCCTCTTGCAGAGCATTAATGCTTTTTAAGTAGTTTGGTATTATTTTGAGAAGTGTCACGATGACAAGTAGGTTTTGCTAAATTGACTAGCTATTCACCACCTATAGTTTGTAATTTCTGCATTGTTTACAGCGGCTTTTTTGTCTCATATTAACATTTCTGTGTTCAACATATACTTTCCAAGCATTATCCAAATTCACCACTTTAAGGACGGAAATGGAAATACGTATGAATATAATTTAAAATGTGAATCACAAAAGAAAAAATTACTATCAATTGTGGATGATTCATCTGACTGCTCATCAGTTGATCACTTAGAGTTGTCGGTGTCTTATAAAAAACATGGTGAAACTTTTCACCCAAGCAATTGTTCATTCAAACCGAACTTTTTAAACTCCCTCGTCTCTTGCAAAAAACTCTAAAATAATTGTTTCGTTGCATTCAAAATATCTAGGTTTCTTCAAACATTATCTATCAACTATTTAAGCGACTGTCAGACAATCCTAATTAGGGCATCTCGATGAAGGTTTTGCAAATACGATGCCTTTATGTGCTAAATTAAGTCGGTGAAAAAATTCTATTACAAGTTTTTTTATTCCACTAGTAAATTGAATTTTCCTCGAATTACAATAAAGTGTTCAATCAAAGATCGTTGCATCAAACAAAACTTTTTAAAACCATGCAATAAACTTCTGGAAATCGGTTGAACTAAAAGTTGTAATCAACTTTAAAAAAATGTATTACCACGACCATGATGTCTCAAAAGTGACAAAACAAACAAAGGAATGTAAGCATACAAATGTTAAAATGAGACTGACTTCTGTGTGTTATAAAAAAACGTTGTCACACACTATAAAAATTAGTTGAATGAAGCAAAAATAATCCTCAAAATAGCGCTGTTTAACAATAACATTGATAAGTCTTAATAACCAATTGTGATATAGACCCGTTAAGAGAGCTAACCATTGTTTCTTAAAAACAAGTTTAGAACCTTTTGGCTTCTATCGCAAGGTGATTCTGCATCTGTATAACCGGCTCAAATCTAATCATTGATCTAAGTTTCCTAGTAAACCTCAACAACTACCGAGCGATCTAATATTTCAAGAAACGGGAGAAAAACGAACGAATTACGGCTAACGATGACGACAAAAATTAAGATGACGTGTATGAACAAACTGCTGGAAGAGTGCATCCGCTTTGCTTAATCACCGTTACTGCCGTGAACTGCCCACATCGGATGCACTCCTCAATTGATTTTCCTTGAATATATTGCGCTAAAAATCCTGAAAAAATAATGAACAATGTATTATAAAGAACACTTTTTCTTCTAAATAAAATTAGTAGACTTTAGCAGCTTGCAACACTAAATTTTCATGTAGTACAAGACTGAAATATCTTTTATTGTCACTCTAACGGACTGTCCAGTAACTCATGAGAATACCTCCAACAAACGCATCGCCAGCACCATTCGTGTCAACCATTTCTGATGGAAGTAGCTTTTGGACCGGAAATTTTAGTACTGTAGTGCCGTAGACAACATAAGTCGGGTCAGCACCTTGTGTAAATACAATCATTCGTTGCGTTTTGGTATTCTTCTAGAAGAAATATCACCGTAAAATGTACTAAAACTTCATTAAGCTCTGAAATATGCTGCTTGAGCAATTAGAGCTTAAGCAGCAGTTGGACCAGATTATATTTTTATCAAATAAAGATTTCAAGACATTTAGTTAACTTACTTTTGGCCAGTCAGCAATTCGGCGTGCAATTTCTACAATATCTTTCGTACCAAAGTTAAACGCTTCTGCAAATGACACTGCTTCACTTTCATTTCCAAATAAAACGTCAACATATGGCAACACTTCGTTCAAGACTTTCATATAAAATTTTGGTACAAATGGTGCTGAGAGGTTCATCATGAAAGTCTAAAAAGAAAAGTCTCGACTTTACATGCACACTTTCTTTGGAAAGCAATTTATTAAAGTTATGTTTAGCGAGTTAAAAAAAACATAAATAAATTTAAAAAATCTTGACAAAAAATTTTGCAAATACCTTACTCGATGCAATAACTGAAAATTGAAACCAAGATGTTCGTTTAGAATTCTGATTCTAATTTTGCCATGTTTTTTGGTGACGAATTCCACTCAACAATTGTTACAAACTTTTATTCTATTGTTTTACTTTAGGAAATACATCTTTTTCAGTGTTACAAGTCAATCTTCTTGCAAGTTTTGTTGACCATATACATTTTTTCGCTGTTGTGTAAATCAAGGTATCTTTTGAAAAGATATTGTTTGCCTTTCTAAACCAAACCCAGCGCTGCTATTTCACAGGGTTAGCTCAAACACCTAACATTGACCTTTTCTTTCACAGTGGATTCTTATGTTCTGGTTTGCTTAACCTTTCTAAATAGGTGAGATAAACTAGCAATATAAGCAGCGAAAGAAGTTGAGAAGCAGTTTGAGACAAATAAAGGTAACGAAAGAACTGCTGTTAGTCGCAAGATGTAAAAAACTTAAAAATCGAGCATTATTCTTGTAGTATAATTAGAGGAGGAGGCTATTACAGATTAGAGATCAGCCGTCAAATTCAAAAATGCGGACTTTTAAAATATGTTTTTTATTCAAAAAGTGTTATTCAAGAACTGTTATATTCTTTATGCGTTTGGTAGCGACTGATATGATCGTACGTGAGATGATAAACGACTAGGAAAATAAAACAGCTAAAAATATGACAACAGTTTGGTTACGTGACTTCTTTCTGTAGTTGGCTATACACTGTCTGGAGCACGAACTTTGTTTCAAAACGAAAGTGCATTAAAAAAGTTGACGACCGGACTCAAATGACAGCTCACCAGAAAATTTTCGAGTTAAAATTTTGTGTTCAGCATCTGAAAACCCATTACAAAACTCGTGCTATTTAACAAGTAGATTTAAAGTTACGGTCAGAACCAAAAAACAAACTAACCAGAATAAAGTTTTATGCAGAGAGGTTGCAAGAATAGCTAAAACTTCTAAGTTTTATTAGATCTGTTTTTGTCGCGATCATAAGCGAAACGGCATTTATTACAATAAGTGACCGACGGGATTATGTTCCCTGAGGGGACGCTCTTGGAGGAGCACGCCACCGGTGGGATAGGTATAAATAGGGAGTGACAGTCAGCTAATTTTAGTGTGTTTTTCATTACAATCAAATCTAATTGATTGTCGGCAGTTTTCTATAAAGCTTTCTCTTGTTAAGTGCCCATATACAGTTAATCGTTTCTTTATTACCTTTTCTGTATAAAAGATTCTTTGTTTATTATATCACTTTGGCGTGTATAATAGGATTGTGAGTCGCTTCAAGTAATTTCTTATATTTGTTGTATAAACTAGTTTGCAAGTAATAAACTAGTTAGTAATAGGGGTAATATCGCATGTGTAGTAATTAGGCATCTCCTTCTGTATATAGGTTTAGGCAGGTATACTACGACTGAGTAGCAATCTTACTAAACACGAGAGTTGGCATCTGTCCAAGGCGAGTCGGTTCATAGAAGGCTTAGGAGTGGAAAGAGTTC